ACAAAACGCGAACTTCTAGTAGACTATTATAGTGACCTTCCTTCTCACACGGAACCAAAGGTAATCCAATAATAAGCTAAATACAAACACAAAAACTTCCGGTCTTGGACCTTTCAACAAAATCGCTTAAGCGCTGCAAGCTTTATTTATGCTGTATGCATTCTTACAAATTCGTAAAAGGTCGACCATACCAAGCTTATAACGTTGACAGACTGAAGATTTTTATGATCTTTCTGCCTGGAGCGTAAGAACGTGCTCAAACAATTCTGTGATGAAGTTTTACAACGTAGTTTAGGAATCATTAATAAATGACACACATCCGCATTAAAATCAACCCTTTTTATCGCGATAAATTGACGAATTGTTAGTAACTACCTGCTACCTTATATCGCATGAATATAGGCAATATTATCGTATTATACATCTGTCGATAATAAAGAATATTTAACATCTTCGGTCAGTGAACATGTCGGTCATGTACACTCGAACAGCGTCGCCTATGTGAAGTAACACTTCACCATTGTTGCTTGCTAATTTTTTGCGCCTAAAAACGTCAGTCTTTGGAAAATAGATTCGTCATGAGAAATTTCTATTTCGACCAGTTGGTTACGCAACTAGGTTTCGTATGACTAAAAGGTGGAATAGAATTCATATAATTCTTGCTATAACTAAAAGTTTTTCCTGCTACTAAAAGTTTTTTCAAGCTTAGTGGGGATGTACGAACGCCCTTCCTTTTTCACATAGGCTACATCTTAATCAGGCTAACAGTTTAATTGCCGTCACATATATTCACAGAACACTTGAACTTAATGAAACATGTTCATCATCTAAAGACCTGACGGTTTGGACGGTAACGATAAATTTACAAGATTCTACTCCTGAAGAACGCTACAGCGACTATGATGAAATTTAACGAGTACATTCAATTGAGCAGTAAATATTTCGTCAGAAATATCCCCAACTTTATTATTTGACTAGACATGAAGATAATTTTTCTGTAAGAAAAAATATTACTATGCGTGGACAACGTGACAAGACGCTGCTGATTGACTGTTAAAAATCACCGGGACAGTGATAAGATGACGTATGCAAACGTCACGGAGTCATACGAGTTCACAAAACGTTTATTGTATCACAGTCAGTGCTACGTCTATTGTACTTCTGGTAAAGAATAAGTAATTTATGCATCAGGAAAAGGCGTATGACTCGCAACACCCAAAATGAAACATTCAATAACACATATTTCCAAAAATGGTGCGATCATATAACATTGCGTTGATTTGTAAATAGAATTTGGGAAAAAATGTTGGAAATATCCCGGCAACTTTTGTTTGGCCTCCGTTTACCCCATCGGATATATTTTAATTATATAAAATAACAATACCGTATGCCCATTAATCAAAATTTGTATGTTCATCTTTTTCAATCCAAATCCAGAGTTATTTTTAATAAAGACGAAAATATCCCGGTGCGTTTTAACCCACTTGATTGCATTATATATAGGACATTCCACTAACGAGACGAACTCTAATATTTTTTATATGAGTCACATGTTACGGTCATAAATTTTAAGAAAGTAAATGAATATAAAGAAATAGTAAAATGACCGAGAAGGAAATAAATCAAACTAAGCGAGAAATGAGCGGTTAAAGTATATTTGTCTTGTGTATTGTAACAGGGGGTTTACTAGTACATTTTCGTTATTTAGTGTATACTGTCCTACTACAGTACTGTAAGGTGGTAGTATTAATGCTGTTATATTTACATGTTGCGCAACTGTATCTTAGTACTAAAACATATTGCTTATTTATGGTACAGATGCCGTCACATTTTAGAGCAAATATTATACAGTATAATTTATGTATACACAGAATGGACAACATACAACAAGCTCAGAGATACAGAACTCGTTTATACTAAACAGGACTCAATTATAACAAAGAAGCAAACTCAAATTGTCCCCGGAAATGCTTCGGACAAAGAATCATAAACAATGTATCGAAAAGTAAATAACTCGAACGACTTCTGGCATTTTCATATCGCATAATCCACGTATGCTGATAAAATGTGAAAGGTTAGAAGCGAACTCAACCAATCTCTAAAAAATATATAAATGAATATTTAGGTGCTACCTTAATGTACATTTGTTTGCGCCAAAACACGATTAGCGGAAGAACAAAACGAATAGACCAAGAGAGAGAGAGTTACAGCTAGAAAAAAATCGATGCCCATGCAAAGAAATGCAACTGCATAATTCGCCGACAAACTTTATTACCGTCGTAAAATCCAAAATCAAGGCTATAAATGAATTGATTGGATTTTTAATGATATGAAACAAAAGTAGGACTGAAACTAGTATCGTAAACTAGAGCCATGCTTTTAGTAACAATCAATTTGGTCGTTTCGATTTTGCGTGTCACTTCGTAATGTTCAGATAAGGGTTACGAATATTACAAATTACCTCACTTTAAGCAACCGACGACAAATATTTTCTTGTGTGTAAATGCCCCAGACGTTAATCTTGATAGGAACAATAATTTCAGGAAAATCTGAATCAGGCGATCGCACAGACCCTCTTCAATAATACATGGGCTTCTCGTAATCGAACTTGCTACCTAAATACAACCGAATGTCTCGATACCAATCACTGATTGTATTACCGTAATATTAATTTCAAGTGACTATCTATATAACACTACATTTGCCCACGCTTCATAACCATACCCCTCTGCCATTCATTAAACGACACGACGCCGCGGGCAAGCGATGTCAATCATGTTAAGCGGGCGTATCAAATTGACCATGGTAGCCAAAATTGCGCGAATCTCTTATCAAAACACTCGATTATATTTTAGGACGAACTTCAGATATATTAACTAGAGCTCATTTGTGTTCTACATAATATATACTAGAGATGTACCGATACCACTTTTTGTCGCCGATACCGAATCCGAGCTAAAAATGCCGATACCGATACGCCGATACTACAAAAAGGCCGATATTACCGATACTATGTAATTATTACTTAATTAGGTATGCTGTGTAGGGCAGACGGGTTAAAACAATGGTCTTTGAGCGTTGTTCATAGTACACATTATTTCAGATCGAAAAAAAATATAGCCTATAACATAATATGAAATTAATGTTTGGTATCCATATGCTGTAACTGATTAAGATACATTGTACAGTAACGCTAGTAATCTCGGTGTTCAATTAGAAAACTCATAAGCCGGGATGTCCAATTTGAATTTAATGTTAATATCGCGAGCTTCGAATATCGTTATTCGTGTTTAAAAGAATATCGAATATCACCCACACATTCTAGCGCCGCCGTTCTACGTTCAATTAAAAGCATTTACAAATATTTTATTTAGTGGGCTAATCGTAATCGTCGACGCAATAAGTCGTAAGAGATATATTTTGAGACAGTCTAGGGCTAGGCGGTCAAGGTCAATATATCTATAAAGAAATCGTGTAGTTAAGCAGAAATTAAAACCTGTGTAGTGGGATAATTGTGTCGGAATTTAGTTTATCGATGTCGACGGACTAAATGACACTCGTACTTGACGACAAACTGGCACTATACCCGTGCCAAAGTCCATGTGCCGTTAATAAGGAAGGACCCCAATTCCACTGTATGATTTAAAACTGGGCGCCTGGTTGCTTTTAGTTATGTGCTGTGTTGATATATTTCTTCATAAAAACTATGTAATATTAAAAATGTCAATATAAAAATTTGTCAGCAAAAATAGCCAAATTAGTTTAGCTGATAAATAGCTAAAAACACGTGATCCTATTCTCTCGCGGGGGTGGGGACATGTATGGCTCATAGCTCACGATCTCTACAGACAAAAATAAATTAAAAAGTAGTATTCCAACTTATCTTTTGAAAACATTCTGGACCATATCAAAAAGGTAAAATATCGGAAATATCGGCCTTACTCTAACGATACATGGCGATATTGCCGATACCCGATACATCTCTAATATATACCCAACCGCATATTACAGAAGTAACTCAGTGTAACATAATATACAAATGCAAAGGCCTGTGTGTAAGATGCCGACAATATCTATTCAAAACAATCACATAGCGCGATTTTCCATGCATCGTGGTAGCATGATGAATGATTACAAGCGGTGGATTGGCCATGCTTTATTCCTGCGTGGAATAACTTTGTACAAAAGAATTGCTTGATCAACTTTTTGCTCATCGGAATTATTTCCTCATGAAAATAGTTTTTGGCCTCCGTCCAGACCACCAAGCTGTAACTTAATTTCATGACCCCCCTCCCCTTGAGTATCCTGCTGTGCTCCTGTTATTTATCTCTATTTTGGCTGACCTAAGCTCAGTTCAAGCATTATACTAGATTTAGAAATAGTTAATAGCAAATCAATCTGTTCTATTTCGAATTTTTGAAAATTATTCCGGTTATTCCAGGTGTGTTTCCTGCAATGTCAACGAACACTTACCATACTTAATTCCTTCTCTGAGAAAACAATTACAATCTCTAATAATATGCTATATTTTCGATTCATAAGGCACTTATATCAATCCATCTTTTCTA